GTGACATATTTGTATACCCGATAAATATACTCAGAACCCCATTTTAAATAATGAAAACTATACCTACCCTGGATAACATAGTGACGGCTGTCACTAAATCTATGAGGATGCGCGCCGTGATCGGCATCTGCTGGCTCCACCCTGAATTTTCTCGGGTCTGTTGGCTTAACCAGCGAGCCAAGTGCGATCTCGCCTCTGGATCATCTGGCCAAAATAGAACCTCTTTAATCAAGAAGGTGGATGGCCTGACGAACTTCATCAGCGTCTAAATAGAAACAAACGAAGTTAAATGATATCGAAGTAATGGGTCTTGTCTAGATTTGTTTATCTATCGTCAGTCCCGTCCGTATGCAAAAGGATTCGCCATTTGACTATTAAGGCGCCATTACGGTTTCATGGAACATGCGCATGATCAGATTTACAAGTTCCTTGTACATGCAGCTCATTAAATTTGGAATCACCACAGGTCAGATTCTCGATTTACATCTTCAGTATACAATTTCGACAGCATTTATTGTGCACTTATCCTATATTAATGGATCCCACAAGTTTTCCTTTATTCAGCTAACTATTGGCAAATGCTGCCATGGGTCCCAATAACATTACATTAGTTCTGGATAGCCAATATCTAAAGTTCCTTTGAAAATATTTCAACACTTAGTATTAAGTAAAAGGCCATGGAAATCAGCTGTGGTTAGCGTTTTATACAGCTTACTTTTCACCTAAGGGAACATGATCCCATCAAGTCTATTGGAGTACATATAACGCACCAAGGAAAACCAGTTATTTCGTACTCGATAATGCCGCTTGATGAGATTTGCTATAAAGTCAAGATTTAAATCAAAAATTAATTAATTTTCGCGTATTTAATATGGCAATCTATCCTATTAACCAATGCGCAATAGGTTGGAAGATAAATTTTTTCCTACACCAACCTGAGAGAAAAATGGTAAATATTGGGATAGTGTGGTATGACCCTTAATTTCGGGAGAAAATTTGGTTGGAAGGAATTCGTGGTGTAACCCTAGTGTAAACCGAATGATTGCCGCGTGGGGAAGACTAGTGTTGTCCGTCCTCACCGGAAGCCGTAGGAAGATTGCCTTGGAAGTGTAGTTGTAGATTTGCTAATACCACAACCCCGATGCACCACCATGCAACCCGACAGCAGATTACCCTGCTAGACACAGGCTTCCTATAATCATTGATCTTACAACTAATATTTTTACTATATGTATGGTTGGAGGATAAATTAATAAAGAAACCCGCATATGTGGTTTTCAAATATACGCTCTCGCCTAACCTACTACTTTGAAGCTCATTAATACATCCAAAAATAACAATATATCTACATTTTCTAACTCCATGGCCTAAGGAGAGGGAGATAAGGAAGAGGAGGTTGGATTAGCCTCGAGTCCAGCTAGGACTATCACATTTCCCATGAAATGAACATTAAATACACACAATGGACATAAACATGAATCAAAATTAGAGGATAGTACACTGCGTAGGAAAACTGCCTTTTGATGATATCGTTCCCCGATTCTGCAGTATAATGATGAAGTGTTATTCGGACAGTTAATTAAATACTTTATCACGTCTCCATCCAGAAATAAGAGGAAAGCTACGAGACTGAGGGGCGTAAGCTATTTTAGTTAATAGATCTCAAGTCTAGATTAAGGAAGGATCTAGATAGGGTTCTGACTGGATGATTTTCGGAAACTCTAGAGTATGACGGACCAGAAGTCACAGAGGATCCGGGATCTGAAAAATAAGCGGCATGACAATAAATTGCTTAGCTATGGAATAATAAGACAGCACAAGACCAAGCCAACCCGGGAAAATTTTGATGGTTCTCTAATGAAAGCATCAACTGTTAAAAACGACGATATGACAATAGTAAATCGATCTTCAATCCCGCTTGATTCTCAAACTACGGATATCTTAGAGAAGGGGCTACATTTTTTACTAGGTAATGAAAGCTTAGCACAGATTCATCGGGATGGCAGGACTGTGTACCGAGGACTTCTATGTGCAATACCATAGTTTCACCTACGCGACAATCCCTTGGTTTACGATGAGGCTATATCAAAAATTCCTTCCAACCAACGTTTCTTTAGAAATATAAGGTCATTTCACGATACAACACTAAGATATTCTTCGAAACCCAGTCTTTCTTCATAGAATAACGAATGACTTACTGGTGATCTGGAAGAAAGCAGCTTGCAAATTAAACTCTGATTAGCCCAGCCGGGACCAATGTCATCAACAAACAAGCAGCACCCGAGTCCTGTTGTAGATCGATCACCTTGATAAGCAAGCGCTTCTGTCAATAATTCTGAAAGGCCAGCTTCGTATGGCTCTAGAAGACCATAGCAGCAATGGAAATTAGAGGCCAAATCATGTGTAAATGAGCTGATAGGGCCCGCCAAATGCAATAGACAACCAGCTAATAAGCCACGTCGTCTTGTCAGCGTCACCTCAGCTAAGGACATGGTAATGCCCTTGGATCCTACGTCGTCAGATCTCGCAGCAGTGCATCCAGCAAACTTAGGTGCCGTAAGGGGGACACCAGTAGCATTTTGACGCACAGGACCAAAGGTACTAGAATCGAGAGACGAGACGAGGATCAAGTCACGTAAAGCCGACGTCATCAATGAGGAATATCCGTCAGGTTTATGAGTGATGTGCTGAATTCGATGGGCTAGTAGATATAGACGTGCAGAGGCGGACAGCCACTGAGCAGTTTCAGAAGTAGACAGACGAGTCAGCTCATGAACAAGACCTAGTAACCAATGAGTAAAGGGGCTTTCAAATAAGGTTGGGGTAATGTTGAAGCACAGTAACATGAAAAACGTACTGCGCTAAATATAAGAAATAGGGCTAATGCGTTAAGTGGATTAGATACTGGGTCTCAACTGAGATGGGTAATTAATGTTTGGAGGTAGTTCAAGTTTATTAACTGAAAACGTTAAGCAATTGTTTGACCTAGTTTTCGCAACTTAGTCATATTAGTAGGAAGGCCTATAGGAACGCACCTAGTCCGGAGTCCATAGTATGCATTGTAATTTCCAGAGTCGGATCATGGACGTGGTACATTCCGAGACGTTTCGCCGGCATCGTTAGTGAGCCTTGCCGTTCATACTATGGACTCCGGACTAAGTGCGTTCTAGGTCTTCCTGCCAATATGACAAAGTTGCGAAAACAAGGTTAAACAACTCATATGCAACGAAAAGAGACTACGACCACACAAAAGGTCACACCATCTTGGTCTTCATACCTTCGATTAGGCTAATTATAGTTTATTGGTGAATTAATGGTGCTCCTTAGCTAGGATGATATCTAGTGAGATTTTAATAGGCTATGAAAAGATCTTTGCATCCTGGTATTGGGGTTTGATTCGATTGAATGATATGAGGAAGAGTTGGCAATACTGACCACCTTTGAAGTAGTGAAACGTAGTCACCTTCACCATCGGTGCCAGGTGCAGTTTGCAGGGCTTCTGGCTTTCATTCAACCCCCCTTCTACCCTGATTGCCAAATGGTCGATGCGAAATTAAAAAGCTGTCTGACTGTCATCAACCTGGCTGCCTAAGAGCCTTCAATCCCCGTACCGATTACACCATATTCGAGGATTTGGAGCAGATGGTGCCTATGCCCATGCCCATATCGATACCTAGGAATCTTCCTTTCCCTTGATCTCAGACCCATGATTCAATTCTCCTGTTTCTCATCCTCACCCACATTGTATCTCATTCTTTGGGGCCGTGTGTCCAGCTTAATTCATAACCGCTGATGTGAAAATGTACCGCTCCCATTTTACCCCTCCAAAATGGCGAAAAGCACACTCCTGTCTTACAAGTTGATACTTCCATCTAACCTTGGGCCACAAGGATGCTCGTGTGTGTGCTGGCTGGTATCCCTTGTGGTCAGGCATATCACCAGTATCCTCCCATCAAGACGCAAGCGCAAATGTACAAACACTGGTGATGCAGACTGGCCCACCCATACCTTTAGTCCTTAATATTTTATCATACATTCCATAGGTGGACCACTCGGATACATTTTTGGTCGATTCCAGGTTTGAATCCTCCCACTGCAATCGCCTTTTCTTGACTTCCCTTTGTCGCTCAACATCCGCTCCATGGTGATGTCTCTTCCAGTTGTTGAATTGCTGTCCTAGATCCAAACATCATCTTTTTTATGTCTTTGCTGAACCTCCAAGTCCGTATAGGCAATACGCGAAATTATCGCTGATTCTTCCCTCTTCCAATCTCCTGTCCACCATGTTTCCTTGAAATAGCATGTCCAAAGCCTCCATAATCTTCCTTTTTCTGCTGTTCTCTCCCTATTAGGCCAACGTTTCCGTTGCACTCCAGTCAATTGTGTGGCCCGTAAGGACTCTAATCTTTCTGCATCCATTTTTCTGCTGGTGTTCTTTGATCCTCGTCCTAATTGCCCTTCCCGTCTCCTATCTTTTTTTCGTTTACAGACTATGCAGTTTATGCTATTAACTCTGGAGTACTCCATTTTGTTGACTTTTTCATGCTGTGTTGACAGGCTGGTAAAGAGGGTTGTCCTTTCCTTTAGGATTGCACGAATGTTTCATTTTCATAGTAGATGAGATTTGCATCAGCTAAAGAAGACTGCTACCAAACAGAAGGCCACACCATCATGGTCTTTATATCTACAATAAAGTAGTGTTTGTTGTCTCACGAGATGACACAAAAGAGGTCACTATATGGTATGGATAGTGATGGTAATACTCGATCGTCTCTGAGTTAGACGTATTTGCAAGTACTTCCGACTTACAGGTAGTGGATCTGAAAGGCATGCTACGTAGTTTATCTATCTTGGCGGTCAAATTTCTAATGTATTGGGTAGATGGTACTCAAAGTTTAGTAGGGACAACGAAATCAATGGGTAAGCGTGATGGCACCCGCAAAACATTTCTGCTGGACTGCAGTCGGTTTCCTTTTTGACCATGGTCCGTAAACGCAAGGCTAAAGACAAGTCTGTCCATCGTCCGGGTTCCTCTGGCATCTCAGACAGGCTTTTAGCTGACGATGGAAACGTTCTATCAAATCGTTAGCTTGTGGATGGTAGGCGCACGTGATTTTATTTTCGTTTCTAATAATTTACATAGCTGGGCAGAAGGATCGGGTTCGAACCGCCTGTCTGTCGGTGATTACCGGTGCCAAACCTGGAAACCCAGTGAATGACAGGTTTCAGCAATTGCCATCGTCTGTGTGTCCGGTATTGGAATGGCTTCTGACCATCGTGCGAAGTGGTCCATAATGGTGAGGAGGTAGTGGTTTTCCTTAGGTGGAATAGATACCCACAATGTACATGTAGATATCATTGAATCTCTTCGGAAATTGGCTCGAAACCATCTATAGGAGTCTTGATAAATCTGTATAACTTGCTATTTTGATAAGACGGACAGTCATTAGTCAACTTACCGATGTCTGTTTGTATTCCTGGCCAGACAAATGCCTTGTGATTAGTTTCATGGACGCACGTAGGCCTGGATGTGCCAAATCACAAATGGTTTGGAAGACCAATTTCCGCATGGCGGAAGGGACGAAAGGACGATGTTTATCCGTAAGCCTATTACACCGTATCTTTGTATCTTGTGGTTTCTCTACATGCATCATCGCCAGTTTAAGGCATTGTTGAACGGAGATTTGATTACTCTCACGTTCCTGTGCTTCAGCCATGGCTTAATAATAAGGAACAATATAGGCCATGCCAATGCGGGAGAGGATGCCTGCGACGATGTTGCCTGTTCCGTTCGCGTTTTTGAGAGTAGAAAGCAAGAGGATGAGGAGCTTTATTAACAACTTGATAGAGTGCACCATCCGGAGCCCGGTCGGAGGTGTCGGTAAAAAGGTTAAAGTCAGCATCTGAATCTGGATATGCTTACATTGCTACTTCGATGAGAGCTGTGGTAATGCGTTCGAGAAGGCACCACGCATCTTTAGATAAGGAGACATCCTTTTTTATGTTTTTAGATATTCAACGAAAGGACTTAACATGCCAAAACAGTTCGGAATGAAGCGAAGGTAAAAATTTACCGTGTCGAGAAAACTTTTTAGGGCCTTGATGGTACGTGAAGAGGGAAAATTGTTGATGCCCAAGGCGTTCTCTTGATTTGGTA